TATTTGGTAATGGAAAAATAAGTTACGCTCAAATTATTTCATACTAAATTGCAGCCTTTTAGGAACATCAATCTTAAAAAATTCCTGTGGCACAGTGACAACTTGTAGCATTGTCTTATACCCACTTATAGTCCGCGTCTGGCGGTCTGGGTTGCACAAATTTGATCATTTTGGTGAATGGTGGTGCTGAGTGCTGACTGGTTGTCTGCTGACAACCTGGAGAACAAGTACCAGCTGAGAGAGGAAGGAGAGAAACTGAAAGTGAGAAGATGAAGACTTGAATTGAATTAAACCATAATTGCTGACTCCAGGTGCTACAAGCGGTCTGTGCATGCGGCACGACTTCTTCACCTTCAACCCGGCATCTAATCAACTGACAGCTGACACGAACTGGGATTATTACTTGGGAAAAATATAACTCGGTAGTCAGTACTCACTGCAGTGAGTGACAGAAAGCGCATTTTCTTGTTGACAAAAACTTTAGGTTACGGACTGACAGACAGACAGACATGGCGAGCACAATAGTACATTTTTTCCATAAATGTGAAAATGCGCTAAAAAGGGGTTCCTACTTAGGCTACTTGCTACCCTGATTAAGATTTATACCTATTTTTTAATTTCAATTGCCTCCCGTCATTAGGATTTAGGAGCATTAACCAATAGAAAAATATTAAACTTACAGAATTGGAAATAACAATTCTAGTGAAGTCCTTTATTACAATTCCATAGGGGTAAAGCAGATTTAAGATTCTTCCTAGAGTTTATTCTTGTATCCTACGATTATAGGCTGCCCAATTTTATTTAGAGTTTAAAGAAAAAGTTTACAAAACATTTGTTCCTGATCATTACCTATTGATTATTATTTATTGCATAATGCATACTTTTGATAAAAGTAGANATAAAAAGTAGATGATTGAAAATTTAGTTGCCTTGTATCTTGTATACCGTCAAACAGGGTAATAAGGGACGGTTTTGAGCATTTTTTGTTAATAACTTCTTACCATGAAACATTTCAGAAACAAGTTTGGGCTCATTTTAAAGCTCTTTGCAAGGGCTATTGAATGGCATCTCAAAAAATTCCATATGATAATGCTATACATGAAATGAACATGAGGCACCAAACACAAAATAAAAGTGTCCCAAATTACCCCAGGGATTGGGAGGGATTGCACTCTATCGCAAAGAGCTTTGAAATGAGCCCAAACTGGTTGCTGAAATGTTTCATGGTAAAAAGTTATTAACAAAAAAATGCTCAAAACCATCCCTTATTACCCCATTTGATTGTATATACAGAATTTTGCTGTTTTGATATATTAGCCAGTAACACAGGTATCCAAACTTGGCAAACCAGTATTATTAATATCATTTATGACTACGTGCTACTTAAAATATGACCTTGTTAAATATTCTTACTGGTGAAATTTATACAAAATTCCTTTTACTGTGTAGACTTTATATTGTTTAATTTATTGTAAATGATGATGAAGATGAACAAAATGTTATGGTAGTAATGTTATGCATGGAGTAAAAAGCAGATGATTATTAATTAGCTGATCAGCCTGATGAGCTGAAGCATGGTTATACGTACTATGTCTTCAAACACAAGCCTAGGGAAATGAGGTGCAATTTTGGGTGGAGATTTTCAATTACTATAGGCATGTGTATGTACCTTGGCTTGCAGCTTATCAGTTGAAATATGTACAGTACTTGTATAAAATTCTTTGGTCTTATTTTCAATTCCATTCCAATGTAATTTTGTTTCATTGAATTTACACCTGCTACGTAACTAAGATTAGTTTATTTTATTTTCAAATTATCTTTGCTCTTGATGTATTATGATCAGATGATTTCTGCCTTGGGCTTTGTTTCAGGTGATTTCAAAAATTAGAATACCATGGTTAAGCAGTCAGAAAGCTGTGAGTTGACATCAGCATCACCATTTCATGCCTTTAGCCCCACATCAACCTTCTCTAACAGCTCGCAAATCTCAAACTATTCAAGTATTTGCCAGGCTGCAGCTGTGTCTGTCAACAGCAGCAGTGCCACATTGATTAGCAACAGTAATGACACTTCAGTCACCTGCAGCAGTGGTGCTGATACTCAGCTGAGTGAGATTCAACATGGCGATGGACGAGAATTCATCTGTGGTTGGGGTGCAGCAGTTATCAACATTGCCTGTACTTTTCCAATGAATAAAATTATGTTCCGACAGGCAAGTGACTCATCTTAGTTGAATATCTTGATTTATTAGTATGTGTTTTCTACAATGAATTTATATTATATACATACACACACACTTTCATTGTTTTACATTGACGTCTCTTACTAAAACATCTTTTATGAATTTCTATGTTAAAGATACCTAAATATTTTTTGAGTTCTTGATGCACATATTTTTCACAGAATTCTGACTTCAATAAGTCTATGTTTCTATATGTGAATGTGCTGGATATATAACCAACGAAAATTAATGTTTCACTCATGATTTATCCAGATGTTACATGGCTTAAATACTCGCCATGCAGTTGACCAGCTCAAAGCTGAAGGCCTCAAAACTCTCTACAGAGGCATTCTTCCTCCACTCTGCCAGAAATCACTCTCCACATCTATTATGTTTGGAATGTTTGATCAGTACTCTCGATCATTAAGATCAATTTCCCCTTCCATGCCCTCACGTGAGTAATAGAACCAAGAAGCCAAATACTGTTTCAAAACTTTTCTTTGCTTTGTGCTTGTTAAATGTCTCAGATTTTGGCTTTAGGCTTTCTGGGAAATTGCATCAGCCTTAATTATAACATAACCAAGGAAGGTAAATCTGGTTTCTAATATTCATTCATATTCATTTATACCTACTTATGAGCAAGTATTAATGTAAAATGTCTATGGCTAGGTGAATTTCAATTATAGTTTAAATTTCAATATGTGTTATTTTGCTAAAATTTCCTATTCTGGACCTTGTTACTTGGCCCATTTTGCTCCAGACATGAATTGAAAACTTTTCTTAGTATATAGGTATCCTTTATTGAAGATTTTTAAGGATAAAGTTGTTATACGTGAATCTTTATATTTCCTAATATTTTCAGATGCTGTGATGGGGGCTGCTGCCACGTTGGCTGGAGTCACTGAAGCTCTACTTTGCCCATTTGAGCGAATCCAAACTCTCATGCAAGACAGAAATTTTCATAATAAGTTTAGGTTGGTATTAACACAGCTAAGCTTTGAATTTTTCTAATTTCTATTATCAATGAATAGAATATTGATGACTAGAATGCTCCACTTTCTGTCCCAGCAAGATTATATGTTGCTTCTCAAAACCATCTATCTTAATCAATGCTACTTCATTAATATCAACCATGTTTTAGCATTGTTCTGCATACTTGTTACTCTATGCAATTTAAGCTCAACTAATGTTTAAATAAGAAGTTTTAATGTGAATCAATCATAAGGTTGTATGAATCCCTACATCAGATAAGATAGGGTATATGCATTCCTCAGCCTCATATAGCATTTCCTTTCCAGAAATACTTGGCACTGCTTCGGGGCTCTGCGAATGCATGGGTGGCAGGAATACTACCGAGGCATCACACTCGTGCTGTTGCGAAATGGTGCTAGCAATATAATGTTCTTTGGCCTTAGAGGACCAATTAAGGAAAGTTTCCAACAGTGGACCAACGACAAGTGGTGGGGTGAAGTTACCAGCAACTTCATGTCAGGTTCGAACTTTATGTCATTGATGGCTATAAAATGATGAAGTGTTATGTCTAGTGAATTTAAATTTTGATGAGTTATTCCACTTACATTGTCATTGAATTATTTTGCAGGTGCCGTGCTGGGAGCTTTTATAAGCACTGTTATGTATCCTGTGAATGTACTTAAGACTCAGCAACAAGTGCGTGTTGGTGGCGAGTTTATGAGCATAAGAAGAACTGCTTCAGACATCTACAAAGAACGCCGCTTGAGGATATTCCACGGCATTCATGTCAACTACTCGCGAGCATTGGTGTCTTGGGGCATCATCAATGCTTCTTATGAAATGCTTCTCAAAGTCCTGTATTCATCTTAGTAGATGGGATTATTTTTAAAAAGGGTTTTTAAATTTTAAAGGATTCTATGCGAAATTTTTCTAATGCAATCCTTGTGCCTCAAAGTATGAATATTTTTATTGATATTACAGATAAATCCTGCCTTTATCTTGAACGAATAGAGTATTTCATTCTCCCATCTAAGATTTTAGTGACTTTATTTGCTGCAACTGTAGACATTGAGTTGAAATTGACTGTGTAACTAATATAAAAAGATTGTGTAGATTATAGAAATTTGATATTTTTTTCGTATTAAAGTTGTTATCGTCCGTGAGAATATTTTCTACTGTTGTCAGAAACAGTAAGTCGTAAATAATTTACTCATATAGATTCGTTATTTTCCTACTACGATTCAGATTTTGTTATCAATTTTTCCTTGTTGGCAGTAGAAGATATTCAGTTCTACTTGGAAAACGAGACTATGTTTACTCTTCTTGTCTTTTAATTATATGCGACGCTCTAACACTCATATATATGTCTATTTTATATCTATGGTTGTAATTACCTTACAAATGAATAGGGTGGAATTGCTCCTTGCCATAGTTTTATTTAATGGTTGCTTTTATAATTTTTGCGGTAACGTTTTGCGGGGCTGAAGCAACGTTTTGCGGGGCTGAAGCATTGTGTTATCCCGTTATCGTGCTCACTTCTGTCTGTGTGTAGGACTTTATGACGTGTAGTACGTCTGTGCTAGTCGCCAGTTTATTTGTTATGAAATCAAATCTAATACGATGATACGCCTCGTCTTTTTACTAGATTTTTCATAACAAAAACGTCGTATGACATGTGTCTCGGCTTCTGACAGAACTTATTTTAGATTTTGCATTTCTAGAGGCATTGTTGATAAGTGCGCCTCAACATATCTGATAAGTGCGCCCGCGATATCTGATCGCAGGTTCCGGTTGTGGGGTTATGTTTTGTAGGCAGGATTATTTACATTTGAACGAGGTCTCGTGTTAGTGGCGTCTTTTGCGAGTGTCGTCGTTGCTGGTGTTTGTTCACTTATTATGATTAACTTGTCTCCTTGCAATGCTAACGCTGGTCCTTTTTGCCAGCTTCAACCGGCCGACCATTTGCCACCCATTGCCTTTTTCGAGATGAAAAATTTTCTATATGAGAAATTTGCCAAAAGAGTGACCTCTACCTTCGGTGGTGTTTATTCTTGACTTCTGGTGCAACATAGCTTGATAGCTGAGGCGCAAGTAAACTTTTTAGCATTAAACTATCAGGAAAAATTTTCATTGCAGTGCAGGATTTTTTGCTTGTATCTCTACTAGAAATTACGATTTGGATATGAATTTATCAATACAATATTTGTTACAGCGATGCAATTTCTGTGTATTTTTTTCAGCTACATCCTATGAAATGAAAACCAATGCCACTGCAAAACTTGTTGTTGCACACAGGTGCTGCATTTTACTTTCTTCGTTCGCGCACATTTCCTGCATTTTGCTCTCGCGTGAAATTGTGTACATATAATCGTATGCTCTCTTCTTAGTTCAAATTTTTTTTTTTTTTGCAATTTCCAAAGCCTTAGTTAATCATCCATGTTGTTGGTTGTTGGAATGTCTGTGACATGATCTGGTGAAGTCTCTGTGTTCCTAATTTAACTCTATATGGTTGGTGTAGTGCAGTGACAGGAAGGCAATCTATTGTAAAGTGTAAATTGTTTTTCATTTTATTGGCTTCTTATGTGATACGAAGCTATATTATATTGGCTACTTTTGCTGCTATTCATGAGACAGAGATAGAAATTCTGAGGGCCATAAAAGCTGTTGGAATGTACTCCAATAAATTCGAGCATTCATGTTCCAATTACGTGTACTATAAATAAGTGTTGTTACATTTCTGAATGACGGCAGCTCTCAATCAGACCTCTCTTACGTGGCGTGTTTGTTTGCTTATATTCGGCTAGCCGCCTAATGAGCAGAGTCTACTAATGCCATGCTATTCTTCTAGCTCACCTCGACCAGTCTTCCAGCCCCGGAATAAAATAATGCAGATTAGAGCTCCCATCAAGATTAGAAATTTGTCCGGAATTTAAGGCGAATTTTTATCATTAATTTATTATTTGCAGGTAGGCAAATAGTCTCTATATTAATGTCAATACAGCTTCATAATTTTGCGATCAGAATTGAAGCAATTTTTGTGTTTTTCAAATAAAAACTATCTTATTAATTTTGGGTCAGATGTCTATTAATTTGCATACCAGTTATATAAAGTCTCCATTAATGTATGGAACCATTCGTCATTCAAGTGAACTTTACAGCCGCATCTCTTTTAATAATTTAAAACTGTAACTCTCACGTCTTTATGTCACCTTGAATTCAACTTGATTACATAAACTTGGTCTTTTTTCATATTGCATCTAACAATAATCAAGATATTGCTATTTTCATACGTAGCTGTTGTAAAACTACATTCAATCACATATTTTCTTTAATTTTAAAGCAATAGTTCGACATGGAATTAATTAATTTTTTCATAAACAGGACGCTTTTTTCCCTCAGTCGCTCACGTTCGAGTAGCCTAAACCCCTGCAAGAGACCTCTGTTTTATGTGCGAAGTATAAACATCGTAACTTATTTTTAGTTATTTCACTGCCAGAATTTGGTCTTTGCAAATTTATTTTCAATTTAAAAAATGTGTTAGAGTTTGATACATTAATAAGGATATGATGTAATTATATGAACTGAAGTTTTAATGGATAACGTAATTGTGGCGTCAGCGTTCATTGGGTTTGAATCAGGTCTGTCCACGATTCGAGACCTTGCAGAATTCTTACAGCTTGCTCGGGTCATGAACGGCTACGCCTATCATACTGTTTTTGACCTGGCCACCTCGTCCATTTTCTGTTTCTGGAAACGAACTCTCAACTCACTACTCCAATATTGATGCACTGAATACAAATCACTTGGCCATTCTGCATTGCAAGGCAGATAAGTCTGCCTAATGATGTGCAAAGAGACTTAGTCAGACGATAGGTATGACTTAAGTCCCCCTTCTCGTCGCATTTAAATGTTTACATTTTCCAATGTTTTGCCGTGCAACCTTCAAGGCACCTGACACAGCTTTGAATGTTGTAGCACTTGTAAAACAGTGTTTCAGTTTTCATTGTCGTTCACTGGGCACTTAATCGTCTTTCTGAGATGCAAACGCTGCTCGCGTCCCGCCAATGGCCGCGCGCTGGATAGCGACTTGTCGCTTCTTGTGGGTTCTGAATGGTTTTGTATTTGAGAAATTTGCAATGATCGAGGCCTTCAATCTAGTTGATGATGCTTAATTTGTTAATCGGTGCCATGCTGCTTGAAAGCTGATGTGCTAATAAACCACTATTCTGAACTCTCGTGTATAATTTGTTACCTATTTTGTTTATATATACTAAAGTATGTCCAATTTGAATGCTTCTTCATCGATTTCACGGTTCGTCTCGTGCTACGTTCTTTTCAAGTAGAATAAAATTCTAGTACAAATTAGTAGAACAATTTTCCGTTGTCTTCATGTACCCGTGCTTCATTTGTTCTTGGAAGATTATCTCGTTGGTTTTTATTATTCATAAATTGACCATTTACTATTTTCATGTTTAAACTCATGTAGGAAGAAATGAATATTGTCTTCCGGATCTGTAGCTGAAACGAAAGTTTTTAGCTGAGTATCATTGTGTTGGGTTGACACGCGCACTCACAAAGAATTGTGTTGAAGGTAATTGTATTTTCGTTCATATAGATTGAAGTTTTCATTCAAAGCTTGTCTCGAACACGCAGCTCACTGCTCCAATTTTGCGTTGCGTAACCTCCCGGCCTCCGCCAATTTAACCAGAACTGACGCAGGAAGCAGGGATCGAACACTCAGTTTGCTGTTTCAAACTTGGTACTCTAAACTGTTTCATTGAGACATTCGCCGTGCTGTCAAGCACGGCTAGGTAAAAGTTGTAGCCCAGTCCTTAAAATACAACTGACCTTTCGGCGATTTTGCTGTAAGCAATCGTCTAATAATGATTCACTTATCAGTCGTCTGAGCTTAAACGGACTTGAAAGTTATATAGTGTTTTCGTATTAGATTGTGCACTCGCACTAATTTCATGCAGTAGTTCTCTCGTTGCTCGAGTATTGAGCCTGTTGCTGGGTTATCAGGTGTAAACGCGAAATTTTTTGGTCAAATAAGTTTATCATTCTCAGTGGAATTAGTCAAATTTTTCCTCTAATGTGGCAGGAATCGTTTAATTTTGAGGATAATGAAAGCGAATTCACGCATTTTCATACGCGGCTCTGAACCTATATGAATCGAAACTTATAGGTAGTTAAAAACCACTTTCCAAGATTTGTCAAGGAGCGCGTGAGTAAACTTATCGGACCAGTAAAATGTGAAGCTATTTGGTTCCGCAGTGGCGTTGCCATCAGCATTCAAAGAACTCATCTCAATGACAATCTAAGAGTGCAAAATGTGTTGTAACTTTGTAAGGACCTGCTGAATTCCATTTAATACAAAATTTTTACATGTTTTGGCATCTTTTTGTGTCTCTTGGATATATATAGTACAAATTGATGCAAAATGCCTTTTTTTGTTAAAGCAAAGAACAATTCCCAAACTAAGCCCAGCCCCAAGGGACGAAAGGAAAGAAGAAAAGCCAAGTTTGGCCGGGAGAGCAAAGTTGCAGTGAGTTTCAGAATCTTGCATGGATTGCTTTTTTTTTGCATTATTTTTCTAAAATTTATAATTCATCGGTGCTAGGAAATCTACAAATGGTGGTTCATGTAATCAATGACAATGAGTCAATGATGAGGGCTATTTCAGTTATTTGCTCGTTCTTACTTCTAAAAAGATTTTCCATTTTTTTTTACTCATGATGGGAATATTAGTTTCAAGTATTTTGATCTAATAAGATATTTGTACAAGTTAATAGGGTAAACGTGGTATATTCCGACATCGTGGGTAATTCCGTTGGCGTCACCTCTCTAGTTTTTCCTTTATACCTTATTAAGCTTTGTTTTAGGGTTTCATGCGTTCGTTGATGGTTGAAATGGTGACGTCATACAGTTGCGCCTCGAACTACTGCCAAAACACTAGGTCTTGGCCATCTAGCGGGAAAATATTGAGATCCAAAGAGAGACAATGCACGCTACCCAGTGAGATCATCGAAAAATGTGTCAAATTTGACAGTTGACCTTGCTCTACCAAATAGTGAATAACTTGTCTCTTATACACATCTAGATGTGTATAAGAGACAGGGCCTATGGCATGCATACTGATTGCACTGAGTTCAATTTGATATAAGAA